ATTGAGGGGAAAAAAAGTAAAAAATTGCTCATACCAGAAATGAATCGCCGCTGACTTCACAGACATCAACATGATAATAAGGGACTACTACAGGCTAATCTGTGCACATAAATAAGATGATTTAGATGAAATGGATCAATTTCTTGACAACTACAAATTTCCCAAACTAATTCAATAATAAGTAGATAACCTGGTTAGTTTTCTGTTAAAGAAATTGAATTTATAGTTAAATACCTTCCAAGAGGGAAAACTCTAGGCCCAGTTGGTTTCAGTGGCAAATTTTACCAAGTGTTTAATGGAGAAATTACACCAATTCCTCACACTCTCTTCAGAAAATTGAAAAGTGGCAAGGCTTCCCAACTCATTATATGAGGCAATATTACCCTCATATTGAAACCATACAAAAACAGTGCAAGAAAACTAAAGACCAGTATCCCTTGGGAACATAGGTGCAAACCAAATCTAGCAATGTATAAAAAAAAAATACATCACAACCAGGTAGAGTGTCTGTTGGGATTGCAAGGCTGGTTCAACATTTGATGATCAGTTAATAATCAGTCACCTTAATAGACTTATCAAGAAAAAGTAGATAATCATATCAGTAGATGCAGAAAAAGCATTTGAGATGTAAAGCATGAAAAAGCATTCATATGTAATGGTGAAAAACTGAGTGCTTTCCTCATAAAATAGAGACTAGGGTGGAATGTTCACTTTCACTCTTCTTAGTCACTATTGTACTATAAGACATAGCAAATGCAATAAGAATAGAAAAAAAAAAGACATTTATATTGGGAAGGAAGAAATAAAACTATTTGCAGATCACATAATTATCTGTGTAGAAAATCCTAAGGAATCTATCAGAAATCTCCTGTAATTAATGAATTTAGCAACATTGCAGGACACAATATCAATACACAAAATTTAATCATATTTCTATATACTAGCATCGAGCAATTGGAAACTGCAATTAAAAAAATACTATTTACAATAGGTCTAAAAAGAATGAGGTACTTAGATATCTATCTAACAAAATATGCATAGAATCTATATGCTAAAAACTACAGAACACAGATGAAACAAATTAGAGAAGACCAAATAAAAACACATGTTTATTCCATAACTAAGGTATAAAAAGAAACATTTGTAATCCACCACTACTAATATTTTGGTATATTATCCTTCCTATATTTTTATGTATATATTTGGTTTAACCAAAATGGTAGTTTCATTTGCTACTACTTTCTTAAAATGTACTGTGAACATTTTTCCCTGCCATTATCTGATTGTCTAATACTCCATTATATTATGTATTAGAAGATTTAAACTTATTTCCCGGTTTTAGATCTAATTTACCAGTTTCTTCTTTATTATAAATAGTATCGATTGTCTCTGTAGTCATATTTTTATGCTTATCCAGAATGACTTCCCTAGAATAAGTGGAATTACCGGTATGGAGCAATTATGATAATAATTACTGTTGTATTGCCCTCAAAGATGTTCTACCAACTACTATACCAACCAGCATTTTCTCTTTAACTTCACACTTAGCTTTTCTAGGAAAACCTGATTTGAGAATATCCTTATGGGGGGCGCAGGCAGGATGGTGGGCAGCACTGAAGTCCTGGGCAGCTGGGGTGGCAGGGGTGGCCGGGTGGCCCCTGCAGCGCGGATGCTGCCGCCGCTGCAAACTACAGAGCTCTCTGCGTGTCGCGCCAGCACAGCACTCTTCGGGGCCGGGCGGACACCCCGCGTCCACGGCCAGAGGGCCGGGAAGCCAGCCACACGTATTTGCGCAAAGCGTGCCTTTCCCATCCACCTTGGAGGCGGAGATTGCCCATGGGTCCCTGGCCCCAGGTGCCAAACCGCCCCAAGGGGCGATCGGGAAGGAGCTCATAGCGGCAGCGTCCTGGTGGTCCGCTGGAGAGCTGGATTCCCGCCTTCTCCGAATTTCCATCGTCAACTTTCTTCACCAGCTTTCTCTGGTGATCTGGACCATGCAGCACTTTGGGCCCCCTGTTGCCCACTGAGTCAGGGCAAGGGAAAGGGATTAAGGTCTAAACTTGTGTCCCTTCCTAGACAGTGCATCCCTCCTAGGGCAATGATACCTGCAGTAGTTGCCACTTTACTATGGGGGCCTCATCTTTTGCCTCTACTGGCCCTTGGGTGCTGAGGGTTCACTTGCTTTGTTTGGTGCTTAAATGTTTCTTAACTACTGAAAATAAAACTGAGCTACGATGCAATGTCTGACTTTATTTTCAACTATAGCACCTTTAAATATCCTTTCCTTTGTCCTTAGATTGGAGGGGAGGTTCTGTGATTCAGATATTCAAGTAGTACAACGTAATTGAAGACAGTTTAAGAAATGGAAGAGGATAGGTCCTCTCATTCAGTATTAACTACTGTCCACATTTTGGAATGTTTTCTTAGTTTTATAGTTGTATTTATGTAGTAAATATGTAACAGTAATAATATTTTGCAAGTTTAGCATTTTTCCTGATATTTTTCATCTAACATGAACCTTTTTCTAAAAATTCTTCAAAAGCATTATTGAATGGATACATAAAAGATACATTATTGAATGTTCAAATTATTTTCAATTTTTGCCATATTATAGGTTATGATTCAGTGGAATGCTCGTATATAGAGCTTTGCCTGAATGATTGTTTTCTTAAGATAGACTGCAAGAGGTAAAATTGGTTAAATATTTAAAGCTCTCAATCTGCAGTGTGTGAAATTGCTCTCCAAACTGTACAGAAAATGCACCCTCCCACCAGAATGCTGGTTTCCCACATCCCAGTCACTACTGGGTCTCCTCAGTAAAATTTTTTTAAAAACTGGGTTTGTATGACAAGAGCAAACAACCGAGAAACACTCGAATAAGGAGCTTTGTGGCTTACTGGCCTTGTCTCAGATCAGTGAAGAAAAACTGCTAGGACAGTCATTTAGGCCTTTTGTTAGGAAAAGTTAGCTTCCTGTAAAAGATGTTGTATCCTGCAGCCTTTCTAAACTCACTTATTCTAGTAGCTCTTTGGTAGATGCCATTGGATTTTCATCATTGGTGATCACGTTTTCTCAGAATAAAGGCAGATTTGCTTCTTCCTTTAAAAAAAAAAAAAAAAAAAAAGAATATCCTTATGAGGACTTCCCTGGTGGCGCAGTGGTTAAGAATCTCCCTGCCAATGCAGGGGACATGAGTTCCATCCCTGGTTTGGGAAGATCCCATATGCCATGCACCAGCTAAGCCCATGTGCCACAACTACCAAGCTTGCTCTCTGGAGCCCGTGAGCCACAACTACTGAGCCCACGTGCCACAACTACTGAAGCCCATGCACCTAGAGCCCATGCTTCACAAGAGAAGCCACCGCAACGAAGAGTAGCCCCCGCTCGCCACAACTAGAGAAAGCCCGCATGCAGCAAACGAAGACCCAACACAACCAAAAAAAAAAAAAACAAAAGAATATCCTTATGTGCTTGAACTTCAAAACTGTGAAATTGATGTTTAATTATCATGGAGCTCTCATGACTTCTTCAGTTGTCTCAGCAATGATCTGTTTTAAATATTCAGTAACACTATCTCCCAAATCATTGATTTCCTACAAATGTAGTAGTAGTTACAGTAACAGTTATAATAATAGCTATAATTTATTGAGAGCTTGCTACTTTTCTGGCATTATATTAAGCACATTAAATCTTAATCTTTATGATGACAATTATTGTTAGCCCCATCTTACAGGGATGGTACCGAGCTTCAGAGAATTAAGTACCTAAGATTTGTACCCAGGTTTAGTTCCAAAGCTTATAGCCACACACACTTCCGTACTGCCTCTTTAAAAGATGTCTTGTTTTTTTTTTTGGCTGTGTTGGGTCTTCATAGCTGTGCGTGGGCTTTCTCTAGTTGCTGCGAGCGGGGGCTACTCTTCGTTGTGGTACCTGGGCTTCTCACTGCAGTGGCTTCTCTTGTTGTGGAGAATGGGATCTAGGTGCATGGCCTTCAGTAGTTGCAGCATGCAGGCTCAGTAGTTGCAGCAGGGCTCGTAGGGTGCACAGGCTTCTGCAGTTGTGGCACGCGGGCTCCAGAGTGCAGACTCGGTAGTTGTGGCTCACAGGCTTAGTTGCTTTGTGGCATATGGGATCCTCCTGGACCAGGGACCAAACCCGTGTCCCCTGCATTGGCAGGTGGATTCTTAACCACTGCGCCACCAGGGAAGTCCCTAAAAGGTGTCTCTTAAATCAATGTCTTAACTGTTCATTTTAATGTGATTCAGTGTTATTTGTTTGAAACAAGTTAAATACTATTTTAGTTCCTAATATTTCCTAATAAATGAATGTCAGTGTGAGTTAGATAAGCCAGGCTTACCTCTTGTCTTTTTGAAAATTTTAAAATTTTAATTTCAGGGCTTAGAGTTATATCTTGGTAGAACTTATTATCAGAATCTATTTTATCCTGAAAACTGGAATAGGTATGTGAATTCATTTGCTAGCTAGGATGCTGTTCAGAGAGTAGCACTCTTAAGTGATGGAATTTTTCATTGTGAGAGATTTGCCCCTATAGATTTCTTTTGTCTTTGACATTGCCTTTCAGGCCATCAACAGTAGAGCAGAATGTGGTTACTCTTCCTTTTACTTTATTTAAACTTGAGTCACATTCCAGATGCCTTATAAATCAAAAGATCTTCAAAGAAAATCATTTTACTTGATGGTATAAGGTTAATAATTCTGAGATTTAAAATCCTATGTTGAGACACTTTACATTTTTGAAGTTCTTTACATGTTTATTGTTGGTTAGTTATTTTCTTAAGTTTTAAAAAATACAAGTAGATTATAGCTAGAATTATATTAAAGGAATGATTCTAATGGAATAAGAATATCTTGTTGGCTACCAGCTTCTTTCTTTCATTGCTTGATTTTATTGGGTCAGATGTTTAAAATTATGGCATTAAAATTTAAATATACCTCTAAATGTATTATTCAGTGCTATTATTTATTGCTGTTTCTTTCAGGAGTTTTTTGTGGAGCCATTTAATCGGAAAGCACGCCAAGAGAACTTGAGGTATAATAATATGCTTAAACAACTTAGCAGTCCACAGTTAGCCACTCTGAGACGCTGGAAGGCAATAAAGCTCTATCTTACATGTGAAAGGGGACCTTGGGCTGAAAGGTAGGTGTCTATTATTCATTAAATACCCTTTTTTCTTTAGAACTCTGATCTAGAACTTTATGAATCAGTGATCTCTCCAATCCAATTTTTAAAATGTTCAATTTTTAAAAGATTACTTTTAATTAATTTGCTTGCCTTTTATGGATTATAAGTTCGGTATGTGTAGAGCTTTGTGTGTATATGTTTTTCACCATGGAGTTATTTCCTTTACTCTTACCCTGTGACATAGAATTTGTTTTGATTCCATTTACTTCTGTCTTCCTGATACCACCTCTTTGAGCTAGGGTTAGTGACGATGTGTATTTGAATATTTTACAATTTCTTTATTTGATCCTAAGTCACTTCTGTTCTTCTGAATTATATTTTATACACACACACACACACATTTTTTAACAGCCCTTTTTTATTGTGGTAAAATACACTTAATATAAAATTTGCTGTTTTAACCATTTTAAAATATACAATTTAGTGGCATTAAGTACATTCCTCATGTCGTGTAATAATCACCACTGTCCAGCTTTAGAACATTTTCATCACCTGAAAAAGAAACCCTGGACCCATTAAGCAGTCACTAGCTATTATCCCTTCCCCCGACCCCTGGCAACCACCAATCTGCTCTCTGTCTCTATGGATTTGCCTATTCTGGATATTTCATATAAATGAAGTCATTCAGTATGTGGCCTTTTGTGCCCAGCTTCTTTCATTTAGCTTAGTATTTTCACTATGTTGTAGCATGTATCATTACTTTCTTTCCTTTTTATGGCTGAATAATATTCCATTGTGTGGAATAGATGATGGACATCGTGTTGCTTTCCTTGTGGCTGTTGTGAATAGTATTGCTTTAAACATCTGTGGATAAGTGTTTGTTTCAACACCTGTTTCTAATTCTCTTGCTTACATACTGGAAGAATTACTGGGTCATATGGTAATTCTGTGTTTAACTTACTGAGGAATTGCCAAACGGTTTTTAACAGCAGCTGCATCATTTTACATTCCTATCAGCAATGCTTGAGGGTTTCAGTTTCTCCACAACCTTACCAAGACTTGTCTTTTTTTTTTTTTAATTATGGTCATCCTAGTGGGTGTGCAGTGGTATCTTATGATTTCACTGCAATTCCCTAATGACTAATGACATTGAGTATCTTTTCAGGTACTTGTTGGCCATTTGTATATCTTCTTTAAAGAAATGTCTATTCAAGTCTTTTGCCCATTTTTAAATTGGATTGTTTGACTTCTTGTGGTTGAACTGTAAGAGTTTTTTTTTTTCAGTAATAGACCCTTATTGGATATATTGTCTATAAATATGTAGGTTGTCTTTTCACTTTCTCCGTAGTGGCCTTTGATGCACAAAAGCTTTGAATTTTGAAGTCCAGTTTATCTGTTTCTTTCTTTTGTTGCCTATGTTATTGATGTCTTATCTAAGAAACCATTCCCAAATCCAGGGTCATGAAGACTTACTCCTATTGTTTCCTCTAAGAGCTTTAACTCTTATATTTAGATTTTTGATCCATTTGCAATTATATTATCTTTATTTGTACTAAAATTATTATTTTATTTTGAAAACTGTATTTGGAATAAACTCCTAAATAGCTAGTTAAGAACTTCCTTGTAACAGTGAAAGAGTAAAATATATCAAGCTGTAAGTCTGAAGATTTATGTTCAAATCTTATTCCTGTACCTGTAAATCACATGGCATCTTAGGCCTGTCTTAGATTGCTCAGGTATATACTGTTGATATGCATAATGACATTGGTTTTTTTTCTCGGGGTTGTTTGGGTCAAATGAGATAAGGAATGTGAATGTTTTTATAAAATGGTGCCCAAAAAATGTAAAGTACCTGATACTTACTCTATTTCGATAAACCAGTCTTTGTAATTTTAAGCGAAATAGTTTATTTGTTTACTTATGAATATTCATAGGAAACAAAATCCACTTCACTGGAAACTAGCTAACGTAGAAAATTATTCCCGCATGAGACTTAAATTGGTGCCAAATTATAACTTCAAAACCCATGATGAAGCTAGTGCTTTGAGAGATAATCTAGGTGAGTTTCAATGGCTGTTTACTTATTTATTGAAGATAATGAGGGTGTTGGTGGGGAATGGTTATTGTTTTCATTGTTTCAAAATTATTTAATCATGAGAGAAGGGTGACATTTTATAATTGGTATTAATTGTTGTTGTATATGTTGCCTTTGGCCTAAATCTAAAATGACTTCCTATTTCAATTGATTGCAGTTTTTCAAAGAAAAATGTAATTTAAACTCATAAATTTATACTGTAGCTGATGTGAAATGTATCATCTCTATCTCTATTATGGTATAGTAAAACATGGTCCTTTAACCTTAGCCTTTTGCTTACCAAAACTGAGTTTAATGTTAAATATATTCAATATTTAGAATTCTTAGCAGCTCTTTAGGCCTTTCTTTTATGACCTGTTCTTCTTACAGAACTCCAGACATTTAGTATCTAGATGGGCCAATGCCTTTTTTCTAGAAAAAAAAGTGCTTAAAAATGCATAGCCTTGCAGTATATCAAAACAGATTTTAAAGAGTTTCTAAAATTCTTATGAAGCCCTTCCTTTATAGCCATCTGACTGAACATCTGTGCACCTTATGTTTAGTGACTAAGTTATAGATGAAATGAGTACCAGTTTTTTAATCTTACTTTTTAAAATTGCCTTGATATATTGGCCAGTACAGTAAATGCCATAAAATTGAGAGCTATGATGCCTGCCATTTAGAGTCTTATATTCTGAAATGAATCAGACACAGTAAGTGATTTCCCTTAATGTAAAATAGTGGCCTTGTCCATGGTACAAAGAGTGTCTTATACAGGAACGGTCAGTGTGTATAGCTTGTCCTCCCAGTATATGTCCTGAGACTATTATACTTTCTCTATCTCTTAAAATTTTATACTTACCACGCAGAAAACATCTTTTGGTGAATGACTTCAATTTAGTAATATTTAAGGAAGAGTGTTCTCTATTTTTTCTTCATTTTGCCAATAAATCCCACTCCAGGAAATTCCCTGTCCCTTTCCCTCCTTCTTCAACCGTCTTACACATGTATACAGGTATAATTTTATGTTTCTTCTTCTTGGTCTCAGTTGTTTTAAGTCCAGGAAAACCAGTGTCCTTTCTCTTTTTCCATCTCTGTTCCTTTCTTTACCTAGTTTTCAAAATTATCCCAAGTATAATGATAATAATAAAATTGTACAGAAGAAAAAAATCATACATTTCAAAGTGAAATTGGGGGAATTCCCTGGCAGTCCAGTGGTTAGGACTCTGCGCTTTTATTGCCGAGAGCCCGGGTTTGATCCCTGGTCAGGGAACTAAGATTCCACAAGCCGCACAGTGCGGCTAGATGAATGAATGAAAGAATGAATGTAAGTAAGTGAAATTGATAATAGTATAAAACCAGCAGCCTCAGTCTTTAAAACTCTTTAAAGTTCCTTGAAGTTTACTTCAGAATTAACTGCAGAATGTTTTACCTTTATAAGTATTTTCATCAGTATTTTTCTGTTTGTATCAGATTATCTAGACTTGTATGTGATCAAAGCAGATTTATAAAAGAGAAATGCAGCTGTACATTAGGTTAATTCATTTTGTATGTCAGAGCAAGGATACCATTTGAGAAATTAAGGGAGGTTTTGTCATCTTTACAGTGTTTTGTTATTTAGCATGAATTATTTTTATTATACACATGAAATGTCTTTATTCATAGTTAAACATATAAATGTTTTCCAGTCCTACCTACACATTATGCATATATTTTTATTACTATTCTTATGCCACCAGATAATTGAGAGATGAATGTGCAATAAGAAGAGCTACCATTTATTTATTTTATGTGTGATGTGATGTATCTCCATTTCACAGTTGCAAAAACATAGATTCAGAGGGGGTCATATGGTTAATAAATGGCAGAATAGAATTTGAATTTAGGTTTACCATTTCACAGCCCATCTTCTTTCTATTACACTAGCTCTGCCTTCTTACATTAATGCATAGTTCATGACATTTGTTGCATATATATGTATCAGAATTATCTATTAAATTCCATGCACTCCAGAAAGGAACACGTCAGCTTTTGGTCTTTGTATTATCTTGCAGTTAAAAGTAATTTGTCACATTCTTTCTTAATATTTCTGTAGTTCAAATGCACAGTAAAAATAATTCCATTGAATTAATGTAGTGAGAATAATTTTTTAACTTACTTAGTAGTATGCTTTAGAAGTAAATATGATTAAAGAAATCTCTTTAATCTCAAAAACTTGGCCTGTTTCTGAAACATAAATAATACCATCATTAAAGATAAACACCATCTTTTAAAATATTTATTCCTTGTATTATATGTATAATAATTTTAAAAAATCACAGTCAAGCACCATAGATAACTCTAAATCATGTATAAAAACTTCTCTGTAGTAAGTCGCTTATCTTAGAAAATTTCAAGAAATTTCAAGAAAATTTACCTTACTTATTATACACATTATTCATATAATTAACAGTCAGAAATTACAGAAGGACTGTGATATGATTTTCCTACTTTGTGTTTAACAAACATTTTATGTTTAAACAGGTATCCAGCATTTGCAGCCTTCCAGTGATTCACTGCTTTTGGAAGTAGTGAAACAAGTAAAAGTTAGTGATATGGAGGAGGATAAATTAGATCTTCCTGAAGAGGAAATAACAGCCAGAGTAAATATGTATGTATAAGTACTTGAAAGAATTTAAAATTATTTTATTCTGAGAAATGGGATTGTAAAATTGTGGAAAATATTTGCTTGAAATTCTATTACTATGCATTCCCAGAATCCAACAATTGATACTATATATCAGCTGTTAGGAGTCTATTAGTGTTAACTGAAACTACTGAAGAAGGCTTCTTAGGACTGGGTTAATTTGGAGCTGGACCTTGAAACTAGAAAATATTTTGAGCTGAATGATAATGAAAATGTATCAAATTTATGGGATACAGCTGAGGTATTTATCTGGAAAGTACAGTGTGAAATATAAACTTTTAAGCAAAAGGAAGAAATTATAAAGATAAAAGCAGAAGTCCATGAAAGATAAAACCAAAAAACAAAAAGAAAGATCAAAGAAAACAAAAGTTGGTTATTAAAAATCAGGTAACCAAACAATAAACCTCCAGCCAGATTGGTTAGGAAATAAAGACAACATAAATTACCAGTATCAGGAATGAAAGAGGAGATAACATTACAAATGCTAAAATGATTGAAAAGAAATACATTAAAATAATTAAAAGGAAATGATAGGGACTTCCCTGGTGGTCCAGTGGGTAAGACTTCTCACTCCCAATGCAGGGTGCCTGGATTTGATCCCTGGTCGGGGAACTAGATCCCGCGTGCATGCCGCAACTATAAGAGTTTGCATGCCGCAACTTAAGAGTCCACATGCCGCAACTAAGTCCGCATTCTGCAAGTAAAAGATCCCACGTGCCGCAACTAAAGATCCTGCATGCCTCAGTGAAGGTTCCGTGTGCGGCAACTAAGACCAAGCGCAGCCTAAACAAATAAATAAATATTTAAAAAAAAATTCCAGACATCATTATAAAAAAAAAAAAGGAAATGGCAACTTTATGCCAATAAATTTGACAATTTAAATGAAATGGACAAATTCCTTGAAAGATATAAATTATCAAACCTCTCCCAGGAAAAAATAGCCTTAGATATATTTTAAAATTTTGAATTTGTAGTTTAAAAACTTCCCCTTAACAAATATAAAACATACTCATTTTCTCATCTCTCCTTTGTTACCATACATATTAAACCTGTATATGTTTTAAGCCTAACAGTACAGCTTAATGCAGTTACTGTTTTATGTACTTGTCTTTAAATCAGTTAAGAGAAGAAAAAACTGTGTAATTATGCTTTCCTTTATATTTCCCTGCATATTTACCTACTTATACACTTCATTTCTTGGTGTACATTCAGATTACCATCTGGTGCCATTTCCTTTTAAGCCTGAAGGAATTCCTTCAGTATTCCTTGTAAGGAAGGTCTATAAGCCACAAATTCTCTTAGTCTTTTGTTATCTGTGGAGATTTTTATTTTGTCTTCATTTTTGACTACTTTTTAAAAAATTGAGATATATTTTTTGAAAATTGAGATTCACTTAACGTAAAATTGACTATTTTAAAGTGCACAGTTCAGTGTTTTTTTAGTATATTCACAGAGTTGTGCAACATCACCACTCTCTAGTCCAAGAACATTTCCATCACCTCAAAAGGAGATCTTACACCTTTCAACAGTCAGTCCCAATTTGCTCTCCTCACATCCTCTAGCAACCACTAATTGGCTTTCCTTCTCTATGGATTTGCCTATTTTGAACATTTCATGTATTTCATTCAATATGTTGTTTTTTATGTCTGGCTTTTTTCATTCAGTTTAATGTTTCCATCCATTTGTTTTTATGGCTGAATAATATTCCATTATATGGATATACAGTTTTTGTTTAGCCGTTCAGCAGTTGATGGACATTTATGTAGTTTCTTTTTTCTTTTTTGGCTATTATGAATAATACTGCCTTGAACATTCATGTACACATTTTTTTTTTTCGGTACGCAGGCCTCTCACTGTTGTGGCCTCTCCCGTTGCGGAGCACAGCCTCCAGACGCACAGGCCCAGTGGCCATGGCTCACAGGCCCAGCCACTCTACGGCATGTGGGATCTTCCCGGACTGGGGCACGAACCCTTGTCCCCTGCATTGGCAGGCGGACTCTCAACCACTGTGCCACCAGCGAAGCCCCATGTACACATTTTTGTATCAACTTATATTTTCATTTATCTTGGGTATAAAAAAAAAAAACTAGGAGTGGATTTGCTGATCATGTGTTAATTCTATGTTTAACCTTTTGAGGAATTGTGAAACTTTTCATAATGACTGTACCATTTTACATTCCCTCAGCAATGTATGAAAGTTCTAATTTCTCCAAATCTACCCCAACTTCTATTATTCTCTGTTTTGTTTTTCTTTAATTTATGATACCATCCTAGAATGTTAGAGGTGGTATCTTGTGATTTTAATTTGCATTTCCCTAATGACTAATGATGCTGAACATCTTTTTATGTATTTGTTGGACATTTATATGTCTTTTTTTGAGAAATCTTTATGCAGATCCTTTGCCTATTTTTTAATTGGGTTGTCTTTTAGTTATTGAGTTGTAAGTGTTCTTTACATATTTTAGCAACAAGTCCCTCATTAGATACAGGATTTACAAAAATGTTCTCCACTAAATTGTTTTTCTTTCTTTTTGTGGTACGCGGGCCTCTCACTGTTGTGGCCTCTCCCGTTGTGGAGCACAGGCTCCAGACGCACAGGCTCAGTGGCCATGGCTCACGGGCCCAGCTGCTCCGTGGCGTGTGGGATCTTCCCAGACCAGGGCATGAACCCATGTCCCCTGCATCGGCAGGCGGACTCTCAACCACTGCGCCACCAGGGAAGCCCTGAATTGTTTTTTTTTACTTTCTGTTGGTATCTTTCGATGTACAAAAAATTTTAATTTTGATGAATTTCCTTTCATCTATTTTTTTCTAAGAGTTTTTGGTTTTTTTTTTTTTTTGCGGTACGTGGGCCTCCCACTGCTGTGGCCTCTCCCGTTGCGGAACACAGGCTCCGGATGCGCAGGCTCAGTGGCCATAGCTCACGGGACCAGCCGCTCCGCAGCATGTGGGATCTTCCTGGACCGGGGCCCGAACCTGTGTCCCCTGCACCAGCAGGCGGACTCCCAACCACTGCGCCACCAGGGAAGCCCTAAGAGTTTTATATTTTATCTCTTATGTTAGGTCTTTGATCCATTTTGAGTTAAGTTTTATATGTGGTGTGATGTAGGGGTCCATATTAATTCTTTTGCATGTGATTCTAGTTGCCCCAGCACCATTGCTTTTTCTTTTGAAGATAGTTTTGTCAGATATAGAATTCTTGATTGACAGTTTTTTTCCTTTCACCATTTTGAATATGTCTTTCCACTACCTTCTGGTTTTCACTACCTTTTGTTTCTGATGAGAAATGTGCTATTAACCTTTTCTGTTGTGTCCTGTATTGTGGTGTTTTTAGGTTATTCTTTTTGTCCTTGGCTTTTAGTACCTTGGCTTTAGGACCATGTTTGGATATCTTTGTGTTTATCTTGCTTGCAGTTCATTGAGCTTCTTGGATGTGTAGATTAATTTTTTTTTCATATTTGAGAAGTTGCCAGCATTATTTTTTCAAATATATTTTGGCCCTTTTTCTCTGTTCTCTCCTCTGGGTCTCCCTTTGCACATATGTTGTTTTGCTTGATGGTGACCCTTTGAGGTTCTTTCATTCTGCTTGATTCTTCTTTCTTTGTGTTCTTCAGATTGGACAGTTTCTTTTTTTTTTTTTTCCCCGTATGCGGGCCTCTCACTGTTGTGGCCTCTCCCGTTGCAGAGCACAGGCTCTGGACGCGCAGGCTCAGCAGCCATGGCTCTCGGGCCCAGCCGCTCCACGGCATGTGGGATCTTCCCGGACTGGGGCACGAACCCGTGTCCCCTGCATCGGCAGACGGACTCTCAACCACTTTGCCACCAGGGAAGCCCTGGACAGTTTCTTTTGATCTATCTTCAAGAGCCCTGCTTCTTTATCCTTCAAGTTCAAATATGCTGTTGAGTCCTTCTGGTGAATTTTTCGTTTAGTTATTGTGCTTTTCAATTTCAGAGTTTCTCGTTTGGTTCCTTTTTAAAATATATATATAATTTCTATCTCTGTATCAATAATACTCTATTTGACTAGGCTTTTTTGCCATAATGCACTTGGGTTCTTTAAACATAGTTTCCTTTAGTTCTTTTCATGTATTTTTATGATAGCTACCTTGAAGTCTTTGTCTACTAAGTTGAACATCTGAGGTCCCCCAGAGACAGTTTCTTTTTACTGCTTTTGAGTTTATGGCCCGTATTTTCCTGTTTCTTCCTATGTCTCATAATTTTTGTGAAAACCATACATTTTAGATAAATTATACCAACTTTGGTTTCTGATCTCCTTCCTTGATGCTGGTTGTTGTTGTTGTATTTTTGTTTGTTTAGTGACTTTTCTAGATTAAGTCTGTGGAGTCTGTCTTACCTGCAGTGAATGCCACTGATATCTGTACTTACTGGGTTTTTGTTTTGTTTTGATTTATTTTTAAAGCCTTGCTTACTAGGGGTTGCCCCTGGGTCAGCATAGCTTAGTGGTCAGCCAGTGATTAGTTTGTTTTTTGTGTTTAAACCCCTTGATCAGTATGACTGCCACTCTTTGCCAGTGGATCTGTATGTGGTTTAGAGAATGCATTCAAATTTGATGATTTACACATCTGCCCTTTTACTTGTTATGATTGTAAAGCCTCACATTCAGCCAAGAATGAGTAGCTAAGTCTCAAGTATATAATTTATTCTGGACATCACTTTGTTTAGGTTATAAACAACACATGGCAAATATTTCTTAGAACTTATTTTAATACTGTAAATTGACCAGGTTCATGGGACTTCCCTGGTGGTGCAGTGGTTAAGAATCCGCCTGCCAATGCAGGGGACACGGGTTCGATCCCTGGCCTGGGAAGATCCCACATGACGTGGGGCAGCTAAGCCTGTGTGCCACAGCTACTGAGCCTGCGCTCTAGAGCTCGCGAGCCACAAGTACTGAACCCACGTGCCACAAGTACTGAAGCCCACGCGCCGAGCGTCTGTGCTCCACAACAAGAGAAACCACCGCAATGAGAAGCCCACACACTGCAACGAAGAGTAGCCTCCACTCACCGCAACTAGAGAAAGCCCATGCACAGCAGTGAAGACCCAGTGCAGCCCCAAATAAATGAATGAATAAATAAATAAATTTATTAAAAGAAAAAATTGACCAGGTTCAATAATATCCTTTGTTGGCATAAGCAGGTTTTTTGGTTAATATAATTTTAGTAATTTTTAAATATGTCCTTGATTATTTTCAGGGAACTGGATGGGGTAGTTATCTAGGGAGCTGTCTTTGGTTTTGTTAGATTCTTTTAGTCAGCCTTTTAATGGGATTTTATTTTCTTTCTTCAAGGACTAGTGAATTCAGTGGATGTCAGTCTCATTCATTTTCAAATGAAAAGCCAAAACACTTTGTTTCATAGAATAGAAATAACCTTCAGACTATTTACTCTCTCAGGTCACTTTTTTCTCTATTTCATCACTGTGAATATTGGAATTTCACTGTTTAGGAAAACATTCTCAGTTTTTTATTTTAAGCTTAGCTTTAATGGTTGCAATATTCCCAGTTAGGTTGGTGATACTTGTAGAGCTTCTCATCGAAATCCATTGGAAACAAAATTAGATTTAGTCATTGCTATCCTGGAAATGAGGCAAATGTGAAATATCTAGGACCAGAGAGCAGCTGGCTTGAAGGATATACTTGAATAACATTCCATGAGTCATAGGAGTTCTCATTTCTGTACTTGGCAGTTAAAAGTCACCTAGGCCACCAGAAGACTGTCCCTTCCCAGTTATTTCCTCCAAAAAGCATACTTGATAACAGTCCTCCAAATATGAGATGACTTCACTTTAAGTATGGTGTGGCAACAGTGGCTCCTAGTATTATCTCCATTTACACTATCAGGGGATACTATGATGATGATGCTCTAGCTTTTGTTGCTCTTGAAACATCTCATTTTACAGTTTAAGAATCAATCGTAATACTTCTAATAATTATTTATGAAACACCACTAATGACACAGTCCTTTATTCACAGATTCATTTATTCCCTGGGTCAATTCATGTCTGCCAAATATAACTAAAAAACATGACCAGTATTGCTGCATGTTTGAACCATCCTCTACCAGTAGTATTGAAGATTCACTATATTTTGTTTTAATGGGTCATATACAATTGAAATGTAAAACATATGTTTTTTGAAACTTAGTTATTGGGTAATAAGTATATTTGAACATATTTAAGTAATTTAATATGCAGTGGAATGGTTTTTGTAGAAAATTCAAGTAGTCTTTTGGATACTGACCTTACAGACACGAGATTTGTATTTGAATATGATGTTCTTTTCCATTTACACAGAATACATTGTTGGATGTTGTTTGTTTGTTTGGTTTTTGTTTTTACAGTAATGAGAAAGAAGAACAGGATCAAAAAGAAAAATTGGTGTTGTTGGAAGACTGTGAACTCATTACAATAATTGCCATAATTCCTGGCAGATTAGAAATCACTACTCAACACATTTACTTCTATGATGGCAGCATTGAAAAAGAGGACGGTGAGGAGTTCTGGGGGAATAATTTCTGTTGTTCAGTAGTTAAGTATCTAGCTTATCAATCATTAATGAGAAGAAGGCGATAAGGTGGGACTGTAGAATTGTAGTCTACCATGTAAAAAGAGACATGGAAAGTCAGTATGGAATTAAATTTATTATCAACAATGTACTGAAGGGAATGCTTCCTTTTTATTAATGTTTTTGAAAAGGTTTGGCTAGAGGGGATTGCTATAAACTTAAGTTATAAAATACAATTTTACATTTATTTATATGTACACTTGTTCCTAGAGGATTTTCACCTAATCCTTTATCTGAAAATAAAAAGATATTTAAATCTAAGCTGGCAACATAAAGAGAAAAGGAAAATTTTCTAAGATATAATATTCAGAGTTATTCTCTATTCCAATGGAAAGGAAGTAGAAAAGCTACAGAATTTTAAAATAGCCTTAAAAGAAACAATTTAAACATCCAATAAATTTAACAAATGGTTTTCATCATACGGAAACTGAATTCCTTTTCCATAGTGCTACTTTTGTCAGGAACTAGGAGGTATTTTCTGCATAGCATGAGTAACTTTTTGTGGTACCCCAGTCACAAGATTGTTTCTGTTTTCAGGAGTAGGCTTTGATTTCAAGTGGCCTCACTCTCAAGTTCGAGAGATTCACCTACGACGGTACAACTTAAGGAGGTCAGCCCTTGAGATTTTTCATGTTGACCAATCCAACTACTTTCTCAATTTCAAAAAAGAGGTATGTAAGATGCTAACTTTCTGGAAGCCCCAGACTGTTAGCTTGAAATTATTTTCCAACTAGTGAGCTGTAATGAAACTTCACAACTCTACTCTTTCATCGAGTCAAAATATATATTAGAGGAAAAAAATACATACCTTTGGGACTAACCAGTATATGCATTTTTGTTGGAATTTATGTGCAAGTGTTTGGAGGATATTTGTTTTCAGTTTTTATATATAGGTAGATAAAGAAGTCAGTAGAATATTGAGTGTCAGCTAATAGGTGTCTCACAGTATCCAGTTGTGAAATAATATGCAATATATATGATATAACTGGATTTATGAAATTAGGTTGGGTTCAATTCAACAATAGTGGAGCTGTGTAATCAGGAAGAATAATGGAACATGTTTTTCTAGGAATAGAGTAAATTCTTACATAGTGTAAGTGGTTAAGAGATTGCCACTGAAGCCAGGTTACCTGGATCCAAGATCATTCCACCACTAGCTCTGTAACCGTTGACCCGTTACTTGCCCCCAGCCTTCCTTCCCTCTGTCATATACTTGAGGTCAGACTTGTATCACAGTCTGATAGCTCTCTCCACCTTGCCTAGCTTTCTCTCCATTTTCTCTCACTGTCATCTCTCCTAATAAAATCCTGCATGTTCAGTTCTGTCTTAGCATTTGCTTCTCAGATGACCTGGATTAGCATAGTCATAACTAAGTTTCTGTTCATTTGTGAGTTGCAGGTTTATTTGTAGATGATTTGATTCAGACATTTAAAGAGCATTTTTCTATTTTTACAAAAAGATAGTTTTTTACTATTAAAAATAAGTTTTCCCCCATAGGAAAATACAATGTATATGTTTTTTAGAAAGCTATTTTATGTAAGTAAACCAAGCACACTCCTATTGAATACTATGCTTTTGTAAATAGTTTTTTGTTTGTTTGTTTTTAGACCTAGTGGTATGGCTTTATTTTGTTCCATTTATTTAATTCATTCTTTTGGTGGATTCGGGGCATAATAAGTTCGATTCTTATTGATAGATATATGATGCTAGAAGGTTATCCAGGGAGAAATGACAAATATCTCCAGTTGGAAATATAAGTGTAAGGTAGACGTTAGGGGGGTAAATATAGATCTGGAATCAGGAGCATATGGGTAACAGATGAAATTATGACAGAAAATAATATCACCTCATGAGCAGAACAGAACAAGAAAAGGAGTAGATGATGGTGGACCCCATCGTCAGTTTAAGGAGCAGGTAAAGGAAAAGGAGTTGGTGAGAGACTGAGAAGGATGATCAGAGAGTGATGTAAGACCTGGCGAGTGGTGTCCTGGATGACACGTATGGGAGAGTTTTAGGGGTTAATCTGTAAGGTCTAATGACATGTATCAATACAGTGAAGCCCAAAACTGATCATCGAATTGGAAAATGAGGTCAGTTGCACTGACACAGTGCATCCAGATTGCTATGAAAAAACTACCATAGATTGGATGGCTTAAACAACAAATACTTATTTCTCTTAGTTCTGGACTGAAAGCTGGAAGTTCAAGAGTAGGATTCCAGTACAATGAGGTTCTTGGTGAACACCTTCTTCCTGGTTAACAGATGCTGTATCCTTATATGGTGGGCAGATAGGGAGAAGGAGAGAGAGAAAGAGCTAGCTCTCTGGTCTTTTTTTTTTTTTTTTTGAATTTTTGAATTTTATTTTATTTACTTTTTTATACAGCATGTCCTTATGAGTCATCAGTTTTATACACATCATTGTATACATGTCAATCCCAATTGCCCAATTCATTACACCACCATCCCCAATCCCCACGGCTTTCCCCCCTTGGTGTCCATACGTTTGTTCCCTACATCTGTGTCTCAATTTCTGCCCTGCACACTGGTTCATCTGTACCATTTTTCTGGGTTCCACATATATGCGTTAATATACGATATTTGTTTTTCTCTTTCTGACTTACTTCACTCTGCATGACAGTCTCTGGATCCATCCACGTCTCAACAAATGACCCAGTTTCGTTCCTTTTTATGGCTGAGTAATATTCCATTGTATATATGTACCATACCTTCTTTATCCATTCGTCTGTCGATGGGCATTTAGGTTGCTTCCGTGACCTGGCTATTGTAAATAGTGCTGCAGTGAACATTGGGATGCATGTGTCTTTTTGAATTATGGTTTTCTCTGGGTATATGCCCAGTAGTGAGATTGCTGGATCATATGGTAATTCTATTTTTAGTTTTCTAAGGAACCCCCATACTGTTCTCCATAGTGTCTGTATGAATTTACATTCCCTCCAACAGTGCAAGAGGGTTCCCGTTTCTCCACACCCTCTCCAGCATTTGTTGTTTGTAGATTTTCTGATGATGCCCATTCTAACGGGTGTGAGGTGATACCTCATTGTAGTTTTGATTTGCATTTCTTTAATAATTAGTGATGTTGAGCAGCTTTTCATGTGCCTCTTGGCCACCTGTATGTCTTCTTTGGAGAAATGTCTGTTTAGGTCTTCTGCCCGTTTTTGGATTGCGTTGTTAGTTTTTTTCATATTGAGCTGCATGAGCTGTTTATATATTTTGGAGATTAATCCTTTGTCCGTTGATTCGTTCGCAAATATTTTCTCCCATTCTGAGAGCTGTCTTTTTATCTTGTTTATGGTTTCCTTTGCTGTGCAAAAGCTTTTAAGTTTCATTAGGTCCCATTTGTTTATTTTTGTTTTTATTTCCATGACTCTAGGAGGTAGATCAAAAAAGATCTTGCTGTGATTTATGTCAAAGAGTGTTCTTCGTATGTTTTCCTCTGAGAGTTTTATAGTGTCCGGTCTTACATTTAGGTCTTGAATCCATTTTGAGTTTATTTTTGTGTATGGTGTTAGGGAGTGTTCTAATTTCATTCTTTTGCATGTAGCTGTCCAGTTTTCCCAGCACCACTTATTGAAGAGACTGTCTTTTCTCCATTGTATATCCTTGCCTCCTTTGTCATAGATTACTTGATCATAGGTGTGTGGGTTTATCTCTGGGCTTTCTATCTTGTGCCATTGATCTATATTTCTGTTTTTGTGCCAGTACCATACTGTCTTGATTACTGTAGCTTTGTAGTACAGTCTGAAGTCAGGGAGTCTGATTCCTCCAGCTCCGTTTCTTTCCCTCAAGACTGCTTTAGCTATTCGGAGTCTTTTGTGTCTCCATACAAATTTTAAGATTTTTTGTTCTCGTTCCATCAAAAGTGCCATTGGTAATTTGATAGGGATTGCATTAAATCTGTAGATTGCTTTGGGTAGTATAGTCATTTTCACAATATTGATTCTTCCAATCCAGGAACGTGGTATATCTCTCCATCTGTTGGAATCATCTTTAGTTTCTTTCATCAGTGTCTTATAATTTTCTGCATACAGGTCTTTTGTCTCCCTAGGTAGGTTTATTCCTAGGTATTTTATTCTTTTTGTTGCAATGGTAAATGAGATAGTTTCCTTAATTTCTCTTTCAGATTTTTCATCATTAGTGTATAGGAATGCAAGAGATTTCTGTGCATTAATTTTGTATCCTGCTACTTTACTAAATTCATTGATTAGCTCTAGTAGTTTTCTGGTAGCATCTTTAGGATTCTCTATGTATACTATCATGTCACCTGCAAACAGAGACAGTTTTACTTCTTCTTTTCCAATTTATGTTCCTTTTATTTCTTTTTCTTCTCTGATTGCCGTGGCTAGGACTTCCAAAACTGTGTTGAATAATAGTGGTGAGAGTGGACATCCTTGTCTTGTTACTGATCTTAGAGGAAATGCTTTCAGTTTTTGACCATTGAGAATGATGTTTGCTGTGGGTTTGTCATATATGGCCTTTATTCTGTTGAGGTAGGTTCCCTCTATGTCCATTTCCGGAAAGTTTTTATCATAAATGGGTGTTGAATTTTGTCAAAAGCTTTTCTGCATCTACTGAGATGATCGTATGGTTTTTATTCTTCAATTTGTTAATATCGTTTATTACATTGATTGATTTGCGTATATTGAAGAATCCTTGCATCCCTGGGATAAATCCCACTTAATCTTGGTGTCTGATCCTTTTAATGTGCTGTTGGATTCTGTTTGCTAGTATTTTGTTGAGGATTTTTGCATGTATATTCATCAGTGATATTGGTCTGTAATTTTCTTTTTTTGTGGTATTTTTGTCTGTTTTTGGTATCAGGGTGATGGTGGCCTCACAGAATGAGTTTGGGAGTGTTCCTTCCTCTGTAATTTTTTGGAAGAGTTTGAGAAGGATAGGTGTTAGCTCTTCTCTAAATGTTTGATAGAATTCACCTGTGAAGCCATCTGGTCCTGGACTCTTGTTTGTTGGGAGATTTTTTTTTTTTTTTTGCGATATGTGGGCCTCTCACTGTCGTGGCCTTTCCCGTTGCCGGACGCGCCAGCTCAGCGGCCACGGCTCACAGGCCCAGCCGCTACGCGGCATGTGGGATCCTCCCAGACCGGGGCACGAACCCGTATCCCCTGCATCGGCAGGCGGACTCTCAACCACTGCGCCACCAGGGAGGCCCTGTTGGGAGATTTTTAATCACAGTTTCAGTTTCATTACTTGTGATTGGTCTGTTCATATTTTCTATTTGTCCATTTCTTCCAGGTTGTCCATTGTATTGGCATAGAGTTGCTTATAGTAGTCTCTTAGGATGCTTTGTATTCTGCGGTGTCTGTTGTAACTTCTCCTATTTCATTTCTAATTTTATTTATTTGAGTCCTCTGCCTCTTTTTCTTGATGAGTCTGGCTATAATGGCTTATCAATTTTGTTTATCTTCTCAAAGAACCAGCTTTTAGTTTTATTGATCTTTGCTATAGTTTTCTTTGTTTCTATTTCATTTATTTCTGCTCTGATCTTTATGACTTTTTTCCTTCTACTAACTTTGGGTTTTGTTTGTTCTTCTTTCTCTAGTTCCTTCAGGTGTAAGGTTAGATTGTTTATTTGAGATTTTTCTTGTTTCTTGAGGTAGGCTTGTATAGCTGTAAACTCCCCTCTTAGAACTGCTTTTGCTGCATCCCATAGGTTTTGGATCGTCGTGTTTTCATTGTCATTTGTCTCTAGGTATTGTTTGATTTCCTCTTTGATTTCTTCAGTGGTTTCTTCGTTTTTTGGTAACGTATTGTTTTGCCTCCATGTGTTTGTGTTTTTTACGTTTTTTTCCCTGTAATTCATTTCTAATCTCATAGCGTTGTGGTCCAAAAAGATGCTTGATATGATTTCAATTTTCTTAAATTTACTGTGGCTTGATTTGTGACCCAAGATGTGATCTATCCTGGAGAATGTTCCGTGCACACTTGAGAAGAAAGTGTAATCTGCTGTTTCTGGATGGAATGTCCTATAAATATCAATTAAATCTATCTGGTCTATTGTGTTATGTAAAGCTTGTGTTTCCTTATTTATTTTCATTTTGGATGATCTGTTCATTGGTATAGTGAGGTGTTAAAGTCCCCCATTATTAATATGTTACTGTCGATTTCCTGTTTTATAGCTGTTAGCAGTTGCCTTATATATTAAGGTGCTCCTATGTTGGGTGCATATATATTTATCATTGTTATATCTTCTTCTTGGATTGATCCCTTGATCATTACGTAGTGTCCTTCCTTGTCTCTTGTAACATTCTTTATTTTAAAGTCTATTTTATCTGATATGAGTATTGCTACTCCAGCTTTCTTTTGATTTCCATTTGCATGGAATATCTTTTTCCATCCCCTCACTTTCAGTCTGTATGTGTCCCTAGGTCTGAAGTGGGTCTCTTGTAGACAGCATATATATGGGTATTGTTTTTGTATCCATTCAGCCAGTCTGTGTCTTTTGGTTGGAGCATTTAATCCATTCACGTTTAAGGTGATTATCGATATGTATGTTCCTATGACCATTTTCTTAATTGTTCTGGGTTTGTTTTTGTAGGTCCTTTTCTTCTCTTGTGTTTCCCACTTAGAGAATTTCCTTTAGCATTTGTTGTAGCGCTGGTTTGGTGGTGCTGAATTCTCTTAGCTTTTGCTTCTGTGTAAAGCTTTTGATTTCTCCATCGAATCTGAATGAAATCCTTGCCGGGTAGAGTAATCTTGGTTGTAGGTTCTTTCCTTTCATCACTTTAAGTATATCATGCCACTCTCTTTTGGCTTGTAGAATTTGTGATGAAAAATCAGCTGTTAACCTTATGGGAGTTCCCCTGTATGTTGTCGTTTTTCCCTTGCTGCTTTCAGTAATTTTTCTTTGTCTTTAATTTTTGCTAGTTTGATTACTATGTGTTTTGGCGTGTTTCTCCTTGGATTTATCCTGTATGGGACTCTCTGCGCTTCCTGGACTTGGGTGGCTATTTCCTTTCCCATGTTAGGGAAGTTTTCGACTATAATGTCTTCACATATTTTCTCTGGTCCTTTCTCTCTCTCTTCTCCTTCTGGGACCCCTATAATGTGAATGTTGTTGTGTTTAATGTTGTCCCAGAGGTCTCTTAGGCTGTCTTCATTTCTTTTCATTGTTTTTCTTTTTCTGTTCCGCAGCAGTGAATCCCACCATTCTGTCTTCCAGGTCACTTATCCGTTCTTTTGCCTCGGTTATTCTGCTGTTGATTCCTTCGAGTGTAGTTTTCATTTAGTTATTGTATTGTTCATCTGTTTGTTTGTTCTTGAATTCTTCTAGGTCTTTGTTAAACATTTCTTGCATCTTCTTGATCTTTGCCTCCATTCTTTTTCCGAGGTCCTGGATCATCTTCACTCTCATTATTCTGAATTCTTTTTCTGGAATGTTGTCTATCTCCACTTCATTTAGTTGTTTTTCTGGGGTTTTATCTTGTTCTTTCATCTGGTACATAGCCCTCTGCCTTTTCATCTTGTCTATCTTTCTGTGAATGTGCCTTTTGTTCCATAGGCTGCAGGATTGTAGTTATTCTTGCTTCTGCTGTCTGCCCTCTGGTGGATGAGGCTATCTCAGTGGCTTCTGCAAGTTCCCTGATGTGAGGGACTGGTGGTGGGTAGAGCTGACTGTTGCTTTGGTGGCCAGAGCTCAGTAAAACTTTAATCCACTTGACTGCTGATGGGTAGGGCTGCGTTCCCTCCTTGTTGGTTGTTTGGCCTGAGGCAACCCAACACTGGAGGCTACCTGGGCTCTTTGGTGGGGCTAATGGTGGACTCTGGGAGGGCTCACGCCAAGGTGTACTTCCCACAACTTCTGCTGCCAGTGTTCTTGTCCCCACGGTGAGCCACAGCCACCCCTGCCTCTGCAGGAGACCCTCCAACACTAGCAGGTAGGTCTGGTTCAGTCTCCCCCGGGGTCACTGCTCCTTCCCCTGGGTCCCGCTGCACACACTACTTTGTGTGTGCCCTCCAAGAGTTGAGTCTCTTTCTTCCAGTCCTGTCGAAGTCCTGCCATCAAATCCCACTATCCTTCAAAGTCTGATTCTCTCGGAATTCCTCCTCCCATTGCCGGACCCCCAAGTTGGGAACCTGAAAAGGGGCTCAGAACGTTCACTCCAGTGGGTGGACTTCTGTCTTATAAGTGTTCTCCAGTCTGTGAGTCATGCACCCAGCAGTTATGGGATTTGATTTTACTGTGATTGCGGCCCTCCTACTGTCTCATTGTGGCTTCTCCTTTGTCTTTGGATGTGGGGTATCTTTTTTGGTGAGTTCCAGTGTCTTCCTGTTGATGATTGTCCAGCAGCTCGTTGTGATTCTGGTGCTCTCCCAAGAGGGAGTGAGAGCATGTCCTTCTCCTCCGCCCTCTTGGTTCCTAATCTGTAAATAGTTTTAAAAGCACATATGTATGTGGTATCTAAACTTCATAACAATGTTCAGATTAGATATAGCAAATTCTATTCCTTTTTTTATAGATGAGGAAACTGAAGTTCAAAGATTAATTTTATTTCTTTACATTTGCATAAACCTGAGTAATTCACAAAACTGTAAGGGTAGAGATTATTATATTTAATATACAAATGAGACTCAGTAAATTAATTGATTTGCCAAGATGATTAGTAAATGACAGAACTAAATTTGAACTAGAAGTGAAGTAGTTTTTTTGATTCAATGTCTGAAGATGATTCCATTATATACTATAAAGTTCTAAAAAAACACATGTCATAATTTCGTTAAGCCTTGTAGAATAGAGAAGTTAAAACCACAATCGTCTATTTATATGAAATGTTCAGAGTTGGCAAATGCATAGTGATGGAAAGTAGTTTAATGTTTGTCAGGGGATGGGAGGGAGTGGAAATTGGGGAGTGATGGCTAGTGAGTATGTAGTTTCTTTTGAGGATAATGGAAATGTTCCAGAGTTAGATAATGTGAATGGTTGCACAACTCTGTGAATATTAAAAAAAGCCCACTGAATTGTATGTTTAAAAGGGTGAATTTTATGGTACATAAATTATTTCTCAATAAATCTGTTAATAAAGCCACAATCCTGGTTTGTCTTGATCAATTTTTAAGCCATAAAGTGCTTTTGTTTTTAATAGGTTAGGAACAAAGTGTACAGCAGACTGTTGTCACTTCATTCTCCAAATAGTTATGGAACCAGATCACCACAGGAGTTATTCAAAGCATCAGGATTGACACAGGTAGGAAATTTTAAGTCACTGATTTGCTGTTCATTTTATATCTCAGACTTTTGCTTAGAAGTAAAACTTCCTTCTTTCAATTATTTTATTTTGATTATGCAACTGCTCTTCTTCCATTCAGATTGGTCTTATGAATTATCTTTGAATCATTCTGTTTCCCTCACACACAGTGCCCTGTCTCTAGTTGGCATGTCATTCAGTTCATGGGCATAGCTTATAAATTCTTTTTTTTTTTTTTTTTTTTTTTTTTTGCGGTACGCGGGCCTCTCACTGTTGTGGCCTCTCCCGTTGCGGAGCACAGGCTCCCGACGCACAGGCCCAGCGGCCATGGCTCACGGGCCCAGCCGCTCTGCGGCATGTGGGATCTACCCGGACCGGGGCACGAACCCATGTCCCCTGTGTCGGCAGGCGGACTCTCAACCACTGCGCCACCAGGGAAGCCCTAAATTCTTCTTTTTTAATAGTGTTCTTTTTAAAAAATAGTACACGGGATTTTTTTTCTTAATAATAAAAATAATCTGTGCACAAGAAAAAAAATGGGAAAATACAAAAGACACCATGGAAAAAAGGCAAAACAAACAAAAAAATTCTCCAATCCTTCTATCTGCCAAAGCTAACTAATGCTTTTGTGTATTTTTATCCTCACATATATCCCAACATCTCTTGAATTTACACTGTCCAAAGCCAAAGAAAGGCCCTTGTTTTTTGCTCTCTAGGGTTTTAGTAGTCTTCCAGTTAGGTTCTCTTGCCTCATGGCTCTCTCCTTCCTCCTACATATGTGTTAATCTTTCAGTGTAGCTCTTGTTCAAAAGCCATCAGCAATTGTTTCCTATTGCTTATGGAATAAGTTTTATTTAATAGACTATATTTCCTGCTTTCTGTGGAATAAACTTTATTCATTAAAGTACTGTTTCCTCAGTTTGGCACTCAAGTACAGTTATAATTGGGCTTTCTATAAAATCTGTATATATAGATTAATTTTTCACTATTTCCCATAAGTATGTCCTTTGCTTAAGGCACACAGTAAACTTAAAAGTGTGTATTAATCTGTCAGCAAAATGCTTGAGCATGCCTACACTGTGTAGAGTAATTAGTAGTCTAAGTACAGTAAGGTGATTAAAAAAATAATGTTTATGTCTTCCTTTAGAAAATTTTTATATCTGTTATAGCAAAATCCCATTTACCTTTGCTCTATAAAAGTCGTTTTCTGAATATAGTTAATATAATGTTATTTAAAATTTGTAGATCATTTTAGTACGTTGAGATACTGATTTTTAAATATTTATACTTAGGAAATCTTCAATTTATGACAAAAATTTCAAATTTGGGCAGTCCTTCTAGAATTAAAAAGTTTTAAGATATTCAAACAAAATATTTTTTAACTGAAGAAAAGACTTAATTCTTATGGAAGACTTTTTATATTGTATTGTAGGAACTTTCCTTTTCTAGAATTTTTAAAAGGAAGTGAATTTACGAAAAGCTTATTGATTTTACCTCCCTGTTAAATAATTTTTAAAGCTTTATTCCTTTATCAAAAAGATGATAGAGATAATGGGAACAAAAGATTATTTTAGTACTGTCAGTAATAGTTACTGATTTCTAAGAGATACAGATTAATTTTGATTTTTTCTTTTTTTGTGCTGTCTAGAAATGGGTAAACAGAGAGATATCAAATTTTGACTACCTCATTCAATTAAATACAATGGCAGGACGAACCTATAACGACCTTGCGCAGTATCCTGTGGTGAGTTTTATATAAATCTTGTAAATGTGGAATTACCTTTCAGTTTTCTAATGCACAAAGTATATGTGGATGATATCTAGTTTTTATTTTTAAAAAGATATAGAAACTGATTTTGCCTTTCTGTATATTTCTACCCTGCTATTTTCAAGACATATGTAAATATGAAGAGTATTTTAAAAATAAAAACCCTTTTTCTTTCACTTCATTGAAAATATTCCAGTGAAATTACAGGAAATAATGCTTCTGGTTATTGAACTAAAGATGAATAAACATTTGCAACAGGGAAAAAATAAAGACTATCCCTTTTTGTCTTAGACAAACATTTATATTAGATATGGAGATAGTAGCCTCTCTAGGAAGGAATGTCTAAATTGTAAATTGTGGCTCTTTTAGTTCCCCTGGATTTTACAAGATTATACTTCAGACGAGTTGGATCTTAATAACCCATCTGTATTTCGAGATCTATCCAAACCAATTGGGGTAGTTAATGATAAAAATGCCAAAGCCATGCGAGAAAAGTAAGTGCTTTTCATCCCTTTTGAAAGATGCCCATAGCTTGTTTGAATTTGTATTGATTTCTGCTATGGCCAACCAAGTGTTACTTTTTTTAAATGCACAACTACTTTTGATAATCAGAGTCTGGTAATTCCTTTATTCCTTGAAAATATATCAGTTGTCCTTCAAATATCTTAACTATAGTCTGTGTATTTCCCTTCATTACCAAAGTTAAATTGATATTGTTTAGAATTTCTTTCACCTTGTAATAAGTATGTGCTAAAAGGTAATAGGTTCTTGAAATTTTTCTCCCCAGGTATTTTAGACTTAGTAACTTACAAATCTAACATTCCATCTAATGTAATATTTTGGTGGATATAAAATTAATAATATTAACCTGTTGTTCACCAATAATGTGAATAAAGAACAGTGAAATGTGTGAAAATTTAGAAAGTGATGTTTGAATAAGGAAAGGAAATATTTATAGTTCTATATATTTATGAGCCACCCTGTAAACGTCTCGTACTTTTTTTTTTTATCCAAAGCCAGCTGCTGACAGTAAAAAATAATCTAATTTTAATTTTCCTTTTTCTCCGTGTGAACTTGTGGATGACTTGTCAGTTATGACTTCCAGTAATAAAGACAAAGAGCAGGGCTCCCCTGGTGGCGCAGTGGTTGAGAGTCCGCCTGCCGATGCAGGGGACACGGGTTCATGCCCTGGTCCGGGAAGATCCCACATGCTGCGGAGCGGCTGCGCCCGTGAGCCATGGCCACTGAGCTTGTGCGTCCGGAGCCTGGGCTCTGCAACGGGAGAGGCCACAGCAGTGAGAGGTCCGCGTACCGCAAAAAAAAAAAAAAAAAAGAAAAAAAAAAGACAAAGAGCAGTTCTGCAAACAAACTTAGTTGTAGATTTATTTGAAGGTTGATGGTACATTATTTTTTCCCCCCTTTTTGTTTGCAGATCTTCCCCAGGACTTTTTGCAGTGTTTAATATTTGATGTACTAAATGGAATTTTGCTGTGTATATATTACCCTACTGCCATTAGTCAAACTGTTAACACTGTTCCACAGGAAATACTGATCATATAAATTAACTTATTTTATAGATAATCAAAGATACAATTTAATTTAAATTTCAATAGTATTTTTTTTGCATAGGTACAAATGACTTTATCCCAAAAACTTTCTTTATTCTCCTGAATATTAATGATTTCTATGTAAAAGGAAATTTACCTTAGCTTGATGAACTGATTAGTATTTTGGTTTAAAAATTTCAATGTTTATTGCTTCCAAAAAACTGTTCATTCTCATTTAGATATTACATCCACGAACTCAGATGTCATGATTCAAAACAATTACAGGATCAGTGATAGTTATTGCAGAATTATTATATATCCTTTGCTGATAATCTGATTTAGACCTTCTTCTATTCCACCATCTCCTTTTTAAAAAAATTTTTATTATAGTTGATTTACAATGTTGTATTAGTTTCAGGTATACAGCAAAGTGATTCAGTTATACATATACATATATTCATTCTTTTTCAGATTCTTTTCTCATATAGGTTATCACAGAATATTGAGTAGAGTTCCCTGTGCTATAAGCATCTCCTTCTTTTACCTTTAGATCATTAGACATTCATTTTTACAATTCTTGACTGACCTTCTATATTTTTTCCATTATCTTGGCCACAGAAGGATGTCTAATTATCACATGCTTACAATAAGCAGAAAAATATAAACCACCTAAATATCTATAAGTAAATAGTTAAATTGTTGTATATTCGTACATCTACTTGTTATAAATACCATGTACCTATTAAAAATAGACTATTTAGGGCTCCCTTGGTGGTGCAGTGGTTGGGAGTCCACCTGCCGATGCAGGGGATGCGGGTTCATGCCCCGGTCCGGGAGGATCCCACATGCTGCAGAGCGGCTGGGCCCGTGAGCCATGGCCGCTGGGCCTGTGCGTCCGGAGCCTGTGCTGCGCGGCGGGAGAGGCCACGACAGTGAGATGCCAGCGTACCACAAAAAAGAAAAATAGACTATTCAGTCGTTTTGTAAGATTTTTAAAACTTTTTATTGTCGTGTGGTTGATTTACAATGTTGTGTTAATTTCTGCTGTGCAGCAAAGTGAATCAATTATACATATTTTGTAAGATATTAATAGAAAATTGTTAGATGAAAAAATAAATTGTGAACAGTATATAACGTATAGTGGTTTTATATTAAAATATATTTTTATATTAAAATATATATTAATTCATAATTCAGGATTGACACATATTCATCAAAATGTTAATATTAATTATCTCTGGGAAGTGCAATTGTAATTGATTTAAAATTTTTTTATTTTTGGTAGTTTCTCTCTGGTTTCTAATTTATCTATAGTGAATATGTATTATTGCATAATACAAAATTGTTCAAAAATCCAATATTAGTGCTATTTTATTGTTCAGAAAAAAGTAATAAATTTTTTTTCATTTATTAACATGACGTGCTGATACAAATACATAGTTTCTTAAAAACTGTGTTTTCAGCAATACAATACAAGCATATGTCTTTCTAAGTTAATTTTACTATTGTGGTTATAAAACTTTAGTTTCTTTTTTTAGATATGAAAACTTCGAGGATCCTATGGGAACTATTGATAAATTTCATTATGGTACTCACTATTCAAATTCTGCTGGGGTTATGCACTATCTTATTCGTACAGAACCATTCACCACCCTCCACATCCAGCTTCAGAGTGGAAGGTATGTTTTGGGTAAATAAGCTATTTTCTTAAGACTGTATGATAGTGTTGAAAACTCTTTGCCTTCATGTCACGTACTGTTATAACAGGGCCTTATCTTTTTTTTCTCCTCTGTTAGGTTTCGATTCATATACTAGATCCCTAGATAAAAGCAGCCAAACTTGTTTGAGAACAGGTCACTCAAACTGACTTACACAAATGACTTTTAAGGTGAATTCTTTTTTACTGCTATCCAGTGTACTTTTGTGACTTTCAACTGGGTTTAGGAATCTACCAGAGATTTAGAGTTAGAACTGATTTAGACCTTGATCCAAGACGTCTCCCAGAGATTCAGACCTAACCAATGCCTATGTAGTCCTCCTAAAAATATTTATTAATCAATAGGAATAAAAATAGGGAGAAATAAGGGCCCTTACATTATTAGTAGCAGCTCAAACAGATCTGTGATGCCATTGTATTGTCGTATCACCTGTCAGGGTTATAACTTACCTAACTTTCACATTTTCTTAATGATCCTAAAGAAAGAAACTTTTCCAAGAATCCTCCATTCCCCAATGTATCCTCTAGGAAGCTCTCTACTTACTCCCATTTTGTCTTCATGTTGCCTTATTCTTTACCATTATCATTTTGCCTTTTCTACCCAATCAAAAACTATGTAAACATTGCCTGTTCTACTCTTTCCATGTAAATTTTATCTCTCAAAATTAGCCTGGGTTCCTTATTCCTGTCTTTAGTACACCATGCCTTGGCTATCAAGGAGAGGCTTTGATCACTACACATCTCCAAATGTTACATTTGTCATGAATGCAGGTAATTTTCCTTCCAGGAAAGTATAACTGGGTCTTTTCAGCTTTTAGTGATTTTATGAACAAATGATTTTTTAAAAAGCTTCAAAAATAGATTCTGTTTGTGCTTCAAAGGACATCATCAAGAAAGTAAAAAAGACAACCAATCCAGTAGGAGAAAATATTTGCAAATTATTGATCTGTTAAGGGACTTGTATCTAGAATATATAAATAATTCTAGCAATGCAATAATAAAAAGACGAATGACCCAGTTAAAAACTGGACAAAGGATCTAAATGGACATTTCTCCAAAGAAGATTACAAATTTCCAATAAACACATGATTAACATTGTTAGTCATCAGGGAAATTCAAATCAAAACCAAATTGAGATACCTCTTTACCCACATGAGGATGGCTATAATAAAAAAGACAGATAATACCTACTGTTGATGAGTATGTCGAGAAATTGGAATAATTATGTACTGGCAGTGGGAATGTAAAATGATGCAGCCTCTGTGGAAAACAGTCTGGCAGTACTTCAAAAGGTTAAAGATAGAATTACATATTACCCAGCAATTCTACTCCTACGTATATACCCAAGATAACTGAATACATATGTTCATGCAAACACTTGTACACAAACGTACTTAGCAGCATTATTTATAATAGCCAAAATATGGAAACAACAAAAGTACCCATCAGCTGGTAAAGGAATAAATAAAATGTGGTATACCCATGCAATAAAATATTATCTGGCATGAGTTAATAAAGGGAATGAAAGATTGATATATGCTACAACATGGATGAACCTTGAAAGCAGTACGCTGAATAAAATAAGCCAGACACAAAATGCCATATATTGTATGATTTACATAAAATGTCTAAAATAGACAAATCCATAGAGACAGAAAGTAGATTAGTAGTTGCTCAGGGGTGGAGGGAGATTGAATGGAGAGTGACTGCTATTAGATGCAGGGTTTCATTTTGGAGTGATGAAAATGTTCTAAAATTGATTGTGGTGGTGGCTGCACAGCTCTGCATATACTGAAGGCCATTAAATTGTTCACTTAGAGCAAATTATATGTGTGTTAATTATGTATCAGTAAAGCTGTTCTCCCCTACCCAAACAAAAAGATTCTTCCATTAAAACTGTACCTCTCCTTCAATTTGAATATACCATTATTAGACTTTATTGATGACACAATCATTAACTATAATTAAATTTAGAGTTCTGCTAAGTTCCGCTCTGCTTCAAAACAAGGTTGTTAGGCATAAAGAGTCATATTAGTCATTAACTGTCACTTAGAAGTCATCATTTATGGAATAAATCCAGGAAAACACTATCAAAGGAGATGAAACAGAAGGGATTTATGCTGTTTGTGATTAGCCAAAACAATAAAATTGCAGCATGACCACGTGAACTTCTTTCAACTACCATAGGCCCATGATGGAACTTGAAAATAAAGTTAAAATAAGATAATAGTATATGCAAGTAAAGTATAAAAGCTTTAGCTACAGAACTATTTCCCTAACTCACCCTCTGGTTTTTAGCAAAAAAGTTTGTAAAGATACTTATGTATCAAGGATTAAATCAGCAGCATTTCCATAGATCTGTTAACTATGTATGTCAATACTATAATACTTAGAGTGATATTTAAACTCTGTAATTTTAAAATATCCAAATAATATTTATTCACTTTCTGTAATAAATTTTACTGATTAAAAATTATGCCATTTTCATCTATTTTAACTAAGATGATACTAGTGATTAAAATTATAGTATTCAGTTCCTGGCAACAAAATAAGAAAGATTGTCATAAGGAGAGCAACTTGTGTTTTTAGACGTTAAAGAGAAAGGTTAAATAAAGAGAAACTAATCATGAGGAAACCTGAAGGAAGATTAAAGGTTTGTTTTAGCCTGTTGTTGCTCTCATTCAGTATTCACTATTCTCTTTCAATCTCCACATGCAGGTTTGACTGTGCAGATCGACAATTCCATTCCATCCCTGCTACCTGGCAGGCTCTCATGGACAATCCATATGATGTGAAGGAACTTATTCCTGAATTCTTCTATTTCCCAGAATTTTTGGAAAATCAAAATCGTAAGAAATAGATTAAAAATTGGACTGAACAGGTCCCAGTGGAGAATCCTGAAAAATATCTTTTAGGACATTTTTGTGATGACCTCTAGATTATTTAAGGTTCATTCTGTCTGTGTATTATTCAGTGGCAAGGCTAAAATGATGTTCAGGTACTAGTCTTCTATGGATAGAAGTGCTACAGTGAATAAGATAAATGAGTCAAATTTGAATTGGTAAGAATTTACCAGAGTACAGTGTTTACTAGAGAAGCAAAAAATGGCTATATGCTATTTCAGCCATAAAGCTCCATGGGTTAAAAGTGTTTGAGTTAGATAAGATGAAGATTTATACCAGGGGTCAGCAAACTATAGGTTCATGGGCCAAATCTGTGGGCAGACCCATGTGTTTAGAAATAAAGTTTTATTGGAATGCAACTAGACAATTCATTTACATAAACTGTGGCTGCTTTCACAGTATAATGGCAGATTTGAGTAACTGCAACAGAGACCACAGGGCTCACAAAGCCAAAAGTATTTATTCTTTGACACTTTGTAGAAATTTGCTGACTCCTTTTACAGCAGAAGACAGGAGGCAAGTTGAAAAAAATGACTGGGTATAATTTACCACAATATTTGAAAAACCATATTATGTTTTTGAAGGAAAGAATCATAGAGTGAAATATGGTCTTTAAAAATGTCCAAATACTTTTTCTATGAGGTAGTTTAGATTTATTTTAAGTACAAATAAGGAAATTGGCAAGGTTCTTACTACTGGTGTTCTTTAGGGAAATTCCATTGTCAAAGGGCTGTTACAACTTGTTTTTCCTCCCTCAGCACCTAATGTTAATGTTTGACCCTTTGCTTTCTCGGTAGAATTGTTTGTCCTGCTGGTGAAAGCATATCCAGGACTTCATGACCTTCAATTGTTCACTCTGGGGCAGGTTGTTGGAGGCAAGGCATATGATTCTCAGAGTAAGGCAGTTAGAAGTGGTCACCTTCAGAAAATCAGATGCAACTGTTGACTAAGTGTGATCCTAGACTCTTAGTCAGCCAGAGGATTCAAGTCTTCTAAAGCAGGGTATCTGGGGTAGTAGGAATAAGCAGATTAAATTTGGATACAGAATTTAAGGTTTGCCTAGCTTGACAATTACATTCACCACAGCTAGTTGCTGTCTTGTACTACTGTCCTGGTGGCCTCCATTTCTAATTATACATTGCCTCTTTATTTGAAATGAGCTGGGTAGGAGAAAGCAAAGTATGTTAGAATGACAACAAATATGAATAAAACCAACTCAAAATTGTGCAAGCAAGAAAATTTTAGTACTTTCCATAATAAAAGTCCTGAGATATGGTAACTTAAGAACATCATCAAAGCCAAGTTCTTTCTGTATTTTTACTCTGCTGGTCTGGGTGTTTTGGCTTTGTTCTTGGCTAGTTACTGTCATGTTACAAATAACTAAAGCAATTGTAGGCATCATAGGCAGATACAACAGTGTCTTAGAAAGAAGTGGGACTTTTAATTCTTTGTGTCCTTTTTTTTTTAACATCTTTATTGGAGTATAATTGCTTTACAATTCTGTGTTAGTTTCTGCTTTATAACAAAGTG